GGGCAGCAGGGAGCGCAGCAGCGACTGGGCCTGGCGGTACAGCCTCTGAGAGATGGAGCAGGGGTTCAGGCTGGCCAGAGTGGAGCCGATGTGCTGGATGTAGTCAGTGGAGCAGGAAGTTAAAGAAAACACGTCTGACTGAATTTATGTGTCAGTTTTCATTTTGGCTCCTGATGCAAACCATAGTGGACCTCCATCACTCTGTTAGTTTAAAGGCACCCCCGGAGGTCTTGGCTTGCTTTTAGCACCCCCTAGTGTCCATTCAGTAGAACCAAAAATGAAATGTATCTCGGCGCTGTGCGTTTGTCTTTTTAACACCTTAATCTAACAGCTGCAACGCCCCCCAGCCTTCATTAGTGTCTACAGGGGCGACTCATCACTAAATTAAACAAATCAGCCGTGTTCCAGATCTAAAATGTGCAGGAAGCGTGCTGGAACCAGACTGCAGCGCCTGGTATGTCAGCTCCATTTCTAAGTCCACAGGTGGCAGCCCACCACTCTGAAGTTGCAAGTGTGTGAATATTCTGGCCACAGGGGGGCGATAGGGGCCGGGTGGCCTTTCATTAAGCCTGTAAAGGGTCATTTTTGCACAAACTCGCCCAAGAAAATTATTTAAAAACATGAAAAAGTTACATATTATCCCTTTAATGTTGAACTCTGATGTGTCAGCGAGTTTACACGCACACCTGAGTTGATCTAAAGTGATAAACTAGTTCACGTGTACGTTAGAAAACCGAGTGAAGTGCTTTCCACTCCGGTACAGCAGGTGGCGACTTGCGCCCTTTGTGTCGGCATTCTGTGGTTAGCTTATAGCAAGGGAAGTAGTAAACAAGCGCTGGCGGGAGTGATGCAGGCGGAGATAAACAGGATGTGGATGGAAAACAACAACGCTGCTGCAGCACAGCTCATCTGGGACGTTCTGGATGGTCTCGTGGACTTACACGTGTAACCGTGGTGTTACAAGAAGATTGCTTCTGTGGTCTCTTCACTTCCAGAAGTTACCGGCCGCAGCTCAACGGAGCCGTTTATGCAGAGAGTCGGTTTCCTACCGCATCTCTGGAGGCTTCAGCACGATTAACCAGAAAAATAGTTCAGTTCCTGATGCACATGTAAACACCGAGTGCCACAGAGACAGATAAACTGAAGAAATCTGATTTCCTGCTTTAACAAAAGGATATAATATAGTCCAGGGAGGATGGCCCCCGTTAATGTAGAGCACATATGTGAACCCGTCTTTGAGGACGCCGCGGATGGAGTAGTAGTAGGGCAGGTAGTGGTGCTGCCTGAAGTCCCTGTTCTCGTAGAAGTGGATGGCAGTGTTGTTGGAGGTGAGGACGTGCAGGTAGATGGCCTTACAGTGGTCCTGGGCGGTGGTGGAGATGTGCTCCTTCAGGCTGTCCAGCAGCAGGGAGCCTGGGGGGGGGGGGGGGGGGGGGACAGAGACACCGGGATGAAGGGTCTATAGCAGCCACAGATCATACCAGACTCATCTGTGAAGGATCGCTGCCTGGATGGCCTCAGTTCAGTCCCACAGGACTGATAAGCTAACAGCTAGTCTGAACCAG